TTTTTGAGAGAAATCACTTCAAGAAGTCTAAAAATACCATCCTTCCTTCATACTGGGGGCTGTCTAGTTTTTCTGGTCATCTCTGGAGCCTTGTAAGCAAGCGGCTGTATGGTCATTCCAGCCTTCACTTGGTTCACTGGACAAGCTTCTCCAAAGAGCTTGAACCTAAATGACTGATCCCTGTGGTTGACGAGCATTATGTTGTCAGGTTTCAAGTCCATGTGAATGAAGCCAATGTGCTTCTAATGCCACCAGTAAACAGGGCTGATTTCACCGAGACACAGTGGCATATTATTCTCTTTTGTCAGGTCTTAAATGCTCCTATCCAGAATTTCAAAGGCCAGACAAGAGATTTCATGGAACTGGTAATTCTTGATGAATTTCACAATGTTCGTCAGGGTCAAGAGAACCTTTTCTAACATAGATAATCCTCTTTGATCGTCTCTGTTATCATCCCATTTGGCATCAGCGGTTCATAAAGCACATTTGGCAACTTGGCCGTGAGTTCTTTCTCCACTTAGGCCCATTATTTTGTTGCTGGTGGTATCGCTTTGGAGTACTCACCCACTCACTTACTATTATTATTATTGTTATTATTATACATGTATAATGTGCAATAATTATGCAAATGAATTTAATTCTATTTTCTGAAAGCCAAGTATATGGAGACTATATTCAGAAACACAATGCTCAAAATGACCAGAAGGTGGCAATTGTTAACCGATCCAGTGTGGAGAGGCTGGGAGGCATTAAAAACAGGAGAAAATGTGTTTGTAGGCACAAGTGCGATTAACACCACACTAATACTGAGCGGAGCGTCCATTTGCACTGAAAACATTCTAAGTTCTTTGTTGCATGGATTCCACAAGATGTTGAAAACATTTCTTTGAGGTTCTGCTGCATTTTTATTTTCATTCGTCAGCTGCACATTCATGTTCTTCTGTATTCAGATATACTAAGGAGGCCATTGAAGTTCACTGTACTCACTGTCAAGTTCATGAATCCAGTCACAGATATTTGCTTTGTCACATGGAGCATTCTCATAATGGAAGTAGCCATAGAGGATGGTAAACTGTTTCCATACAGATATCTATATGGTGTGCAGTAATATTGTAATAGATTGGTTGGTATTAAAGTCCCCAAGGTTTGCCATGAAAACGTTCTTCAATAGGTTACACCACCACAACCAGTGAGGTTGTTTCAAACCATGGATTGAAGATCTTGTTGTCATATTCTGATTTTACTGTCTGCAAAACTGAGACATGCCTTTACTGTGAGCAAGCTGGCTACAGTGATGCCCTAATATCTGGTCTACCTTAAAATATCATAAATAATTAACAGCCGATTCAGAACTACAACAACCCTAATAAGAATTAGTGCTTATCACTTTGTCTGCTAATTTGTTTTAAATCACTATTTTTATCACTACAATTTTGGATTACCCTTTCTCATGATGTGAACTTGGTAAATGGTTTGTATTCATATAGCGCTTTTCTAGTCTTGTTGACCACTTTTTTTCTATGAGGGTCAACTTCAGCACTTGCCAAAGGACACTTCAGTATGCAGATGGGGAAGACTGGGTTCAAACTGCCAACCCTCTGGTTGGAAGACGAACGCTCAACACCACAGCCACAGCTGCCCAGTGATGAGTGATGGGATAAAGTTCACAGCCATTGGAAAAAAAGAGTTATTATTATTACAACCAGTGTTTTGGTAGCTAAAGAGATGTATTTCCGATTAGTATAATAGACGATTACATGATCACGAGTTAAAGTAAAAGATCCAAGATTTCCTCGGTGTACACAAAAGACTTATTTCTCTCAAACTGTTCACAGATGTGTTAAAATCTGTATTAGTGAGCATTTTCCATCCACCTGGAAGGTGAGGGATATCATGATGCTGATTTAAGAGCATGATAATTACACAGGTGGGCCTTGAACTGGTCACAATAAAAGGCCACTCTAAAATTTGCTGTTCTTTCATACAACACAATGCCACACATGCCACAAGTTTTGAGGGAGCGTGCAACTGGCATGCTTACTACAGGAATGTCCACCAGAGCCTTTGCCTTTGAACTGAATGTTCATTTCATTACCATGAGCTACTTCCAACGTCATTTCAGAGATTTTGGCAGTACATCCAATCATGTGTAACCACCGCCAACCCTCGCTGCACCTGAGAGATCATCTGAGATCAGCCACCCAGACAACTGATGAAACAGTTGGTTTGCACAAACACAGAAACCTTCTAAGGAAGCTAAAAATTATGTCATTTTCTGACATAAATGTGACTTCTTCATCATATCTCTTATCATATCACAACATATAATGGCGACTATGAATTATGCAGTCTGGGATTATTTTTGTTCAACAATCAAACTCTGAGTTAGGACATTCAGCCTTATGTGGTACACACACACACACACACACACACA